AAAAAAAAAAAAAAAAAAAAAAAAAAAAAAAAAAAAAAAAAAAAAAAAAAAAAAAAAAAGGAAGAAAATGGATTGAGATTGAGAATGGTTGGGATGATAATGAATCACCAATACCTTTTAAAATCGAGTGAGTTGATGAGAAGGTGAGGTTGCAATGGTTTTAGATTACAAATCCAGCTATTTCCATGCTGCCCTCTGCCCCCCGTTGTTTAACCGTTTGTTCCTCTGCCATTCTTTGATTTATCCTCTTCATATTTAGTATCCATTTTGATGCGAGTTTTGTACTGCCTCATCAAATTGGCTATCCACTTTTTAGGATATGCTATGTTCACTTGAAAGTGATGGCAAATGGACTCAGCTTGCACCATAACGCAAACGACAAACTTGATAATATGTTCAACTTTCTTTTTTATTATAATTATAAACATTAATGTTCTCATCCACCGTTCCACTGAATTCGCACTTCTTGAACAGACTCATTCCTCGTCTAGATGTACGTTTCAAGAAAGTTTGGTTGGCTCCCAGCTCCATCTCGGTCGACATCCTACTCTTGAAGCAGTGGAGTCTTGGACCGAACTATTCGTTGTTGTATTGCCCAAACGGATAAAGGGCTTTTGGTGAGTATCGATTTGTGTATAGCTTAGTAGATAAGACATTGATTATCATTATAAGTGTTAATACAAGTGTTAATACTCGAGTACCATTTAGCTGCTCTCTTAGTCACAATTACCTATACGGAATAGGCAAGTGTGGCATGGGATATGACGAGGACGGGCAAGATACACTGATGAGGTGTTCGAGTGTTTTGTCCCTTTAGTCGAGCATTGAGTTGAAAAAATAGCTGCCTCTTAATAACCGTGAGATCTTTGTCGTACATTTAGTGGGTTGAAAATAGTTGGGTTGGGAGTGAGGGTGACCTAACAGGGTCACAGGCAATGGCAATTGGTTTGTCACGGATGAGAAGTGAAACCTCTTTTTCTTTTCTTCTTCCATTATCAAAACCACACATCGCTGTTCTTAAACAACAACAAAAGAAGCTGTCTTCATGTGCTAATGTTTATAGCCATTACCATTTCAATTTCAAATAATATAATTTTAATTTTTTTTAATTTCAAAAATATCTTACTTCGTATTTATTAATATTTTCTTTTTTTGGTTTTGTAAAAATATTTAAAGATCTTAACTAAAATATAAAAACTAATTTCTTTTCCTAATAATTTGGAATTTTAAATTAAATTAATTTAATTATGAATGATTATAAAGTATAAACTATGGCAAATGGAAGATTTTTTGTTTTATTTAGTGGAAGAATATTATAATTAATGAAAATTAATCCTAATTTTTTCTTTAAACCATGATAATCTAAAAATTAATCTCAAATATATATATATATATATATATATAATTCTAGATTAATATTTTAATCGCTATTTTGTTCAAATACTAACATTGAAATAAAATATATTATATGTATTTAAAAAATAAATCTTGAAAAATGACAATTAGCTTTACCTCGTACATCATCTTAGATATTTAAAAATATATTTAATTTAAATTAAAATTGTAAATATGGACAGTAAATAAAAATATAATAATAAGTTAATTTAAAATAGAAAGGGATGGAAATGAAGGTGGGGAGTGGCAAAAAGGGAAATAAAAGAAAAGACAGCGACAGACCAATTGGAAGTGAGAGACTAAATTAAAAAAATTAAAAAAATTCAAATGAAATGTCCACGTGTCTATCTTCTGATGGAGGACACGTGTTGGTTGTTGCACACCATCCCTGCCAACCGTATCCAGCTGTCACCCCTCTTCACGCTATAACCGTTTCTTTATCTACCTTTTTCTTGACACATTGGCCTCCAACTCATTTCTTTTCTATTTTCTTTTTATAAATTTTAAACATTATAAATTACGATATTTTAAAAATATCTAATAAATGTAAAATAATAATAATAATAAATAAATAAAAAGAGTTTAATAGACTTTTTTTTTTTTTTTTTAAGTAAAAAACTATACAGAGAACTGAACTTCTAGTGTTCGATTCTTTGGATTATCACGAAACATCTTGGAATTGAAATTGATCGAAATTGAATTACAAATACAATTCTTTGATTGATTGAAGTTTATAGACTTTAATGTATATACAATTCTATCAACATTACAAGTCTATTAATGATATATTAATATTCCTGTGTGATATTCATCTCTCACTAATGCAGTATAGTAACATATTGAAACGTATCATTAATGGACTAATATTAATATTATTTTAATTAGTTTGAGTTATAGACTTTAGTCACATATTGAGGTAGAAGATAATCGTTTTGTGATAAAGTTAGATTTAAAATCATGCAATTGCTATGATAGTATTTAATCGTTGATATACTTTAGTCACATAATGGGTCTATCATAAATATTCATATTTTTTAAGAGACAAACTTTTTTTACATAGTTGAGTTAATGGGTCTATCATGAATATTCATATTTTTTAAGAAACGAACTATTTTACATAGTTGAGTTGGTTAACTTAGTCATAGGACTCGGAGACTATTAATAGAGTCTTATGACTTATTGACTTCATTGGACTCACTAGTCTTCTTTTTTCCTACTTTTGTTACAAAAAAAAATTTAAAGTTTAAATATGTTTAATACAAAATTAAAAGATTAAAAAAATCTATTAAAACTATTTAAGGTGAGAAATAAAGAAAAGTTTTGAGAAATGAGGAAAAATGGAAAGCAAAGAGATGGACATTAATTGTGGAGGGCGGCCTGAGAGGGGCTCACGTGCCGTGTTATCTCCCCTGTCTCGGCTACAAGCTACACTGCACAAACAAAAACAAGCTTCAGATCACAAATTCACATGCCATGGAGGTTGGCTTATAATGGCCCCTTAACCAAATTCCCTGATGGAGCTTGTCTCCCTTCCCAACCCCACATTCTCATCTCCATTTCTTCTTTCCCCTTCTTCCTTCTCTCACAAACTATAATATATTACTACTTTCACAGCTCAAAGTAGCTGCTGCTCATTTCTGCAAATGGATCTCTAAGCACAATTTTCTATTGGAAATAAACAGAAGATTCTTTTCAAAATCAATACAATAAATCTATGATCAATCAGTATCACCATGTTTATAAACAACTCAAAAGGCAGAGTACCAAAAAGGGGAGCGAAGTTTCCAACTCATAATAGTTGTGATTAGTTGTGTGGAAATGCCTGCAATCTCTCTTTATCTTCTTCTTCATGATAAGACTGACACATCCAAGAGACCTCGGGGCATCTTTTTGGGTACCATGATTCGGATTCCGACGGGATGCCTGTCAATGGAGTAATCAATTTGATGGTTCAGCGCCCACCATGGTGAAGGCTGAAGAAGTGGGATGATATGATGGTCTTCCCTTTTGTTTTTTGTTTTGGGAGGGGAAATATTTCCTCATGACGTAAACTCTTTTAGGGTATTATTACAAAGTGTTGTGTACCCAACTGCTGGCCTCGACAAAATCCCAGTCCCTGTCTTCGTCTAATAAATCAGATACATGATTATCAGGACTTGAAATGCTAAAAACACCCCCACATCAGTCCAGCTAATCAATCAGAAATATCAGAAGTTGGAATACTAAAAACATCCCCACGTCAGTCCACAAGTCACTTCCTTCAAGAAAGGCTGGTAGATATTGGACCACTAGACTCTGGTCCTGCGTCTCCCTTGTCAGCCAACTCGCAGGGGGGCTTTGATGGAAACACAAAAACAGTAGATTCCGCCATTGAAGGCTGAAAGCTAGCAGAATATCTTGCTGAGGTTAAAGTAAATCTGGGTAACTGCAGCATACCTGAGGCCAAAGGAACCAGCTTGTAGCCAAGGACGTGCTCGGATACAGGGAGTATTGAAATTGTGTCATCATGAGAACCAGATATCACAAAGCTCTGTACATCTGCTAGAGAAAACTTGACTTCCTGTAATAGCTTTGATTGGTTCTTAATCTTAATAAAGTATGTGAATGGATCTCCGAGGATGGCATAAGGAGGACTCTCCATGCACACAATTAAAGGCGAGAACTCTGTATCGACATCAGGAAGACTCTGCGTTGTCAAGACTGAACCAACATTAGAATCATATTGGTCTTCAGTCTTTGAGTATCTTTTCCATCTAAGTAACACATTTCCTAACCTAATCTGCTTTGATGAATTTATCTCGGAAGTAACAGTGAAAACCTTCTTAAATTCTTCTCCAGGCGTGAGAAGAGCTGGGTCTACAAGGTTACTACTAGCATTTTTTATGGAACATGACTTTTCTTCGGTCCCATCATTATCTGCTTCAATTGACATGGATAATAGTTGCAATGGGACCTCAGTGCAATTCTGGGCACTGATCACCAGTATGCAAGTTTCGTTTAGAGGCAGAGATAATGACTGATCAGACTGAGGGATTGCTTTAGTCCTTGAAAGCAACAACGCATCCCGCCTGAAAGGCAGCAAAATGTGATGACCAATTGTGACAGCAGGCTTTCCATCAATCTGCAAGCTCCTGTGAACATTGATTTTTTGAGCATTTGGATCATCGCTAAGTGGAGAGTAACCCAGGGACACATAAAGCATAATGGGTTTAGCCCGGTGCCACTTAATTTGCAGTTTGCAGGACCAGGGCTCTCCAGGTTTTAGAAATGGAACAGAAATCAGTCCGAAGGACTGCTTAATCTTCATTGCTTCATCAGAAATCAAATGTGAGTCTGCATTATCCTCCATACCAGAAATGCCAAGAAGCTCAACATGATGGCTACTAGAAAAGGATTCTGTTTCTCTTGGGCTAAACAAACCACCTCCTCGCACATCAACCAGGTTGATCTTTAACTCGCCAGAGTGAATATCAGGACCCTTGGAGACCACGGTTACAGGTACTATGAAAGTCTCTCCAACTAATGCAGGGGTAGAAGCGCTTAAAATTAGATCCACTTCTGGGTCAAGCTCTTCAACCTGGATTGTCTTCAGGCCAGAAAAGGCTAGAGCGGGATCCTTTGTTGGGAGTGTCTCCAGGTGATTTTCAAACTTCCAAACAGGTAAATCATCCATCGAAGCAGGGCTTTCAGCTCGGCAACAGATCGTAAAGTTTGGCCGTATCTTTGCAATAACTGATGTGCATTCGAGTTTACCACTTTGATCTGAATAAAAAAAAAACATAAGCATAAACCTCAAATTCTTATAGTCATAATACCATATGTACATATACATGTGTACATATACATAATACCTCAAAAAAAAACATTAGCATAAACCTCAAATTCTTATAATCATAATACCATATGTACATATACATGTGTACATATACATAATACCTCAAAAAAAACATTAGCATAAACCTCAAATTCTTACAATCATAATACCATATGTACATATACATGTGTAGCTAGCTAGCTACCTGCATATATACCTATGAATATCAGTATACGTATCTCTCACTCTCTCTAGATATATATTATCAAAAGCAGAAATCTACTAACAAAAACATACACCTAGGATAACAGAAACTCTCACTCTTGGCACGCACAGGGAAAAAAACTGAAATGGTTCGAATATTCAGAATATAGTCAGATGTGAAAATGAGAACAGTATCACATCTCCAATTATGCCAGGATAAAAAAAATCTTGATCAGAAAGACACCCAAGATTCTACCCACATCCGATTATAAGCAGTATTTTGGAAAAGTTATGAACAAAAGAAAATGAAATTGATGAACACCCTTCAGAACCATTATGAACCTGATATAAAATCAAAGCTCCCCTTGGTTTTGTGGGGATATCAGATAGGGGTATACAAGGGTTGGGTTGGGCCGATCGGGTTATCTGTTAAAATAAACACCCCTAATACCAAATATCTCATCTCCATTTTTTTAATATCTTAACCTCTTCAATCTTTGTTTACTAAAAAAAGTTTATATATACCAAAATTCCAAGAACGCATGAGAAAAAACTAAATTACCAGATTTAATTTGATATGTCATCCGTAGCCATTTATTTGAGGAAAGTGCAAGAGAAGGAGCTTGCTCAACTCTGTGACCATGTTGATCACTGGCCATCCCAGCTGAAGGAAGTCTTTCAGCATTTACTACGATAAAGTTACACTCCGACTGATTAAAGTGAACTTCTAATTGATCAAGTTCAATGGTAAGAGGCAAGTGGGATAGAAGTGACACGGTAATCAGAGTAGGCACCCCAGGCTTGATTACTTGTTCATGAAAAGCAACTGAAGCAAGAAGCACCAATCTAAGAGGGCTCACTAGATCAATTTCAAGATGTACAGGATTGTCTCCCGTTACTTTGAGTTCTTTGCCATGTTCAACTGAGGCCAACACTGATTCTTCATCAACTAGATTAAATATTTCGTTGTGGATTTTTTCCCTATTGTCTAGAGTTGCAGGGTTCACTGGGCAGCAATCTTTGGATCTGAGAGACAGCATATGAACATCAAATGATATGGGAAGTGCAGCCATTTCAAGAGAGTACTCCAAGTAATCTTTCACAATACCATGTTTCCTAGACAAATCTCGCAGGTAACTGAGGACTTCCCATAACAAAGTGATCCATCCCTCCCTCCTATATAAACTTGCAACGTTATCAAAATGTCTTTTTGCCTCTTCTAAATTGTCCATTGCATAATGCTCTTTAGCAATCTGGCATGCACAAAAAGAGCTCATTCTCTGAGCTTTGGCATGGCTATACGACTCATAAGCTTTCTTGAGGAGAGTAATCATATGAAATGGTTCTTGATGCTTCTTTTCTCCAGCAATGGTATTATTCAGAAACGCTTTATCCGTAACACTGCATGTATGAGACAAGTCGAAGTTTAGATATAAAAAGCATATATGAAAGAGGAATTATGAATTTACTTATTCAACACTTACGTTTGCATGAGCGTTACATCAACTTGTTCAAGTAACCTACAATACTGCCCCACATATACCGACGGTACCAAAGACTCGGTAGTTTTTTCCAATTCATCAGCATTTATGTACATTGATGATATCAGTTCAAAAGATGATCTCTTCTCCTTCAGATAGTTAGCGGCTAACTGTTTCAAGGGCAAGTTTCTGGATCAAATACATTATCTTCCCAACTTCATTAAGTTCAAGCAAATATTTATAGCTTACTTAGATTGAATGTTATAAAAAAAACAAGAAAAGATCAGATGTATGTTGGTAATGACCAAAGCTCAACTAAACAAGTTGTCAAGAAACGTATTCTCAAAGCAATGAAGGAACAGTACCTTGAATGCTTTAGGCTACCAAGAATTCTGGTAGGTATATGATTAACGAAAGAACATTGAATATTATATATCAAAAGAACCAATGTTCTAATAGCATAACTAAGTTAAAGTGCCAACAGTTTTCCAGAAAAGATCATATATCACTCGGTTCACATGAACAAATGTACAGATGACATGTATTTTGTATAGAGTTATGTAGAGGCAAGAGGTGTGGAGAATTATTCACTTCTATGCTTTTCTTCCATTTTTTATTTTATTAGGGATCTTTGTAACTACACTTGATAGTTGATCAACAATAATTGGTGTGAGGTTTTCCTGTATTCTCCTCCCCTTCTACATGCGTCTTTGAGCAGATTTTCAATCTTTCATCATTTTAAATGGAAGTCCCCCTAACACCACTCCGAACAAAAAGAAACATAACTAATACATACGAAGTTTCACAAATTTCTCTTCATTTGTGAATTTTTTTTTCTCCCAAAAGATTTATTTTTTATGAGATGTATCAAAATGGAAGTCTCAATAACAGCAAATCTAATAAAACCCCCAAATCACTCATATTGCAAATGTCCCTTTTCTTCTAAAGCTATATTGTTGAGTTAAGAACGTGTTTCTTCTTTTTTGACAAGAACTATGGTACTTTTCTAATGTAACTCTAATAATCGCAGGACTGACTTGTTTTCTCTCAATTCTAATTTAAGGCTGATAGATATAGTCGGTATGTCTACTTTCAAGCAAGTACATAGGGGGAAAAAAGGAAGGAACTACAAGTAGTGATTTTTCGGGCATAATGTTTACTGTAGTAAAATTATTGAATGAGTACTTTTCAGAATAGAAAAGAATATAATTATTCAAGTAGGCAGGAAAAAAGGATCCAATCATTCCATTCCCAATGAAGTTTACTGGAAGTAAATAAGAAGGAAGGTTCATGCCTGATAGTAATAAGCTGAATGAAACTCCCATTCAGTTAAAGGCTTGTTTCCAGTGCCTAGACCCAGTGCTGGGATGCTAAGACTAGTTGTTGAGCTTGTCTCTAGCAACTCGGCAAATACCATAAATTGTCTACTCATCCATTCCCAGTGAAGAAATTCAGTATCTGGCTCTCCAATTAACCTACTGTACAAGGTAATGTGTTGGCGGAACCATGTCACTGCTTCAACGACCTTTCCACTATGCAATAACAAGGTTGATATCTTAAAATGCAATTGCTCTGCAACTGTTTTAATCTCAACCAACCGCTGAATTGATAGTGACCTTGTTGGTAACCCTGAAATCTGCGCATAGAGTAAGAAATATTTAATGGTGAAAATAGACCATGACTGCCTCTCCATACCTCTCTCAAGATATAGACACATATGCCCACTACAACGAGAAACTTTAAAATAAGTTTGGGTTGCATCCAAATAAATATTAATTTTGTTATTCTTTTGACAAGACCCTACTGAATGTAACCATTATGGATTGACATATCATAAACCAAATGTTGAGGTGTAATCTACTCAGAATTATAATCTTAACGTTCCATGAATTTTCCAAAAACAATTGTTGTCAATTAGTCTTGTGATCTTAGTCAAGATACATTTCCACAGTTTTTTTTTTTTTTTTTTTTTTTTGG